AAAAATGGAAACAAAGTCTTTGTAAATAGGGAGGGATGGAGGGGTTGAATAGAGGGCAGGGGAAGGGGGAAAAATAAGAATCAAGAGAGATTATGTAAAGGTGCAAATTTCCAATGATGAATGTCATTATATTGTATACCTAAAATATACCAATAAAATTACATTAAAAAACAGTGTCTTTTTCTTTAGTTAACTCAAATGAAATTCAACATAAATATTCTTATGTGATTAGATAATTAGGTAATACTCATCCACATGAAACACACACCTTGTATGCATACTTCTGGTGCAAAAATTCATTAAAACACTGGTAAAAATCTTAGCTGAGCAGTAGCAGAGCTTTTATGATACCTTGAATGCTTCCTAGCCTAGACTTTAGAAAACTCTTGGTTCTATTTGGCATTTTAAGCCATTAAATTGCTGTATACTCTATACATATGTTGTCTAGCCTCACACTAGTTTTAATCTCTGTTTTTTTATTCTTTAGGGACATCTTGGAAAGACTTGTCCCCTTCCTCACAATGGAATTTATTAAATCAGCCACCTTCTGAAGGAAAGACTAGGATTCCTCCATCAATCTTCATGAACACCAAAATAACTCACCATCTTTGCTTTGTTAGTTCACTGGCCTACATCACTTCATAGTTTAGTCTCCCTCAACCACAGGATGTGGCCACCAAAAATTAGTAAATAAACTTTACTCTACATGAATGCTAGCGTGCTTAAAACAAAAGATGTACTGGTCCTACTCTTCCCTGAGCGAGGAAGTCCATACCTGCATTTACCAACAGAGCTATGACCAGACATAAGGTAACAAAGAAATGTATCTTATGAGAAATTTAACCTTTTGGAATATTTAATCTATGAATGGAAAATTCAGAGGGATACCATAAACTGAAGTTGGAAAGCTATCGTACAAGCAATGTCTTAGATTTCCTCTGTTCTTCCAGGGGGACAAGACAGATTTCAGATCACATAAAAAGAAAAAAATAATAATTAGAGCTGTGCTAAAATGAAATGGATATCTTTATAAACAATGAGTCTCCAATTATTTCTTTGCATCTATACAGTTTATTATAAAAATACATTTTGTAGCATCCAAATTTTTAACATCTTAATCTCTTATGTGATGATATTCTGCTGTTATCTCTAAACATTTAAAATTCTTCCTTTTTAAAGTGTGTCCTTATTTCACATTTGATTGTACAGGTTGCTATCATTATCAGTTGGTGTAATAAGATTCCTATAAAGATCTTGTTATCTTCGAGGAGTAACCCAGTAGGGAATAATGGGTGTAATAAGATTTCTGCACAGCTCTTGCTTAATAGTAAGATGGTCTATAATTTTCTCTCTTTTTAGATGGTCAGTAGCTACTCTGAAATATAAACTCTGCCATATAAACTCCTTATAAAAGTAAGATCCACATTAAAATAAAATATCACAGTAATTATTCTGTATGGTTTGAGCAAATGACATCTTTTATGGGAAAGAGAAGTTACTAAACAATATTTACAAGTTGCTACCTGGGCTTCACTATCAAACTCTGTGCCCTTCAAACTTTAATATTAGCTTGGCTGTTTTTATTTTTTCTGGTACCGAAATTGAACCCGGTACCTTTTCACACTAAGCTACATCCTCAGCTATTTAGTTAGTTAGAGATGGTGTCTTGCTAAGTCGTCCAGGCAGGACTCAAACTTGTGACCCTCCTGCTTCTTTCTCCTAAAGTTCTGGGATTACAGGTATGTACCACCGTACCTGGTTCTAGATACATTTTTAAAAGTTACTTTTTACAAATTGCTCAGAGACAAGTCTTGCTCACTTTACTCTCTGTGTGGTTGTAAGAATTCTCAACTAAATTCCAAGAGGAATAAAGTCCTTAGCTAAAGTCTGCTGATTTGTCCATTATCCTGTTTGTTTCTTGATCATTATTTTTTCACATCACCATCCACTTCTGCCTATCTCTAGCTATAGGGTCCATGCTGCTTTCTACAACAGCAACTTTTCAGAAAGACATGACTGAATGATGCTCTCTTACAAGCAGAGAAATCTCTCTGCAGAAATGACACTTGATTCTTAGATACCATACACAGTATCTGCATACCACCCCCATCTGCCAGGCAAAACTTTCTCTTCTTATTTTCAATTATCTGATTCATCACTTCTACAGGGCACAATGTTTCATCCTGTGATGAAACAGTCTATATTGGACCTCTTGTCCCTCATCCAGGAATAGCAACAATATACTAAGAGACCAACCTAATCCTCTGCTCTCTGAAAGAAGCCTCTCTCAACCTGTATGTCACAAATAGCAGTCATGAATCACAGAACTTGGAAATAGGCATCAACTGGGCAACAAGCACATCTCTGCTGTTCCACAGTATTATTTAACTCTCTCTTTGCTTGAGGCTTGGCTTGAGAAATTATGAAAAAAGGGGGTGGAGCTATGGAATTCAGAGTCTGTAGCCTTGAAGATAACGGGGACTCCAGGTCAAGTATGGTTCAGTTGCTAAGGAAGCTGAATCAGTGTCACGAATCCTGCCCTCTGTTCATTTGTTCAGTTTGCCCGACTCAAGGTTCTATATTCTTTGATTCATGACTTTTGATAACCAGGTCAAACAGTGAAAGTAATGGAATGCAATGATGTACCAAGCATTCAATTTCACTAGGCTGCCTTTATTATAGATTTCTCACTAAGCTTCCTTCTTCTCAGTAATGTAATATCATCTTCATAGCTGTTCCAAGAACAAGTACCTCAGATGCGTTTATGTCACAGAACCCTTACAGAAATATTTGGATAATCCCTTGGTCATCTGTTAACTCTATAAATGGATCAACATGATTGCTCTGGTCTGAGGACTTCTCGGTATTTATATTTAGAGTGACTTTACTTATTTTTTGGGGTACAATCACTGTATTTGCCTACTGTTAGCACCTCTTTTCTTTTGCAAAAAATAGTGTAAAAAAGAAAGTATACAGGTACCCTACTTATACTTTGCCTTCACCAGAAACTCTTTGCCTGTCTGTCTAAATGTCCTGGGATACCACCCTCATCTGCTAGTCAGAGAGAAATAACCAGCCAAACCCTGAAGCTATATCTTCAGTGCCACTCTTTCCACTACCAAGATAACTAATTGATCATTTCTGTTTCCCACAACCTAATTCACTTATTTAAATGTCACCATCCTTATCTCTAAACACCAAATACCAATGATGTACATTTTCTCACCAAGAAATTTCTTGTGCTTAATTCTCCTTGCAGCTGTAGAATACTTTGGGGGAATTCTAAGCCACAAAGACTTTCTCAAAGACATTAAGACTTTCAAATGCCATGGTATCTAAGGGCAACCCTAAAGGCATGTTACTAGTCTTAGCATCTTGGTAACTTCTCTCTTCACAAAGCTTCATAGTATGGTTCTCATCTTCTCATCATTATGACCATCATATCAGTGATACATTTCTACAGTTGCTAATGCTATCAAATTCTACAGTGTACTTAGTCCTTTCACATCCTGACCAGTTCTACTATTCATACTAATAAGAATTTTGAGAATATGTAGTTCATGTCACACCGGATTCTTGGTTTCACTGGAAACAAATTCACAAATGGAATGTAATCTGAAGACCAGGGCTGAGAGCCTGTCATGTCAGCTCTGTCTGCCATTTGGACTCCCTGGTTACTACCTATAGAGAAGACCTATACGAAGACCTATAATGCTGGGATTTCAACTACCAGATGGCCCTTAGAGAGTGCTTTAATCAGGATGAAGGAGGTAGCAACACCTCCTATCCCCAAGTTGACTCTCTTTAAGAATTCCTGAAAAGACATATGTCAGGAATGGGATTACATGAGATAAATTTCCCAATCCTGTGACTCTGGTCTACCTCCTGCTTGCAATCATTACCTGTATTACTACACAACACATTTGGCCACTGTGCCACTTAAAGGGAGGCAGACACTGTGTCTTGTTTATCACTGATTTGCAAGGATCTGTTACAGAATTTGGAAATAGGCATCAATTGGGCAACAAGCACATTTCAAACACAGTTCCATAGTATCTTTGGGGGGGGCGGGTACCGGGGATCTCCACAGTATCATTTAACTCTCTCTTTGCTTGAGGCTTGGCCTGAGAAATTATGAAAAAAGGGGGTGGAGCTATGGAATTCAGAGTCTTTCTGTAGTCTTGAAGATAATGGGACTCCAGGTCGAGTATGGTTCAGTTGCTAAGGAAGCTGAATCAGATAGGTGTGTGCTGTCTCTAACAGGACAATAAACAAAAGGGTTTAGAGAAGCAAGAACCAGACGGAAATCTTTAGATAGCAGAAGGACCAAAATGTCCAAATGAAGAAGTATTTAGGGGGAAAGGCAAAAGGGTTGCTAAAAGATGCTACATTTCATAAGGCAGAGAGCTAGGGGGTGTGTCTCCCTGGGTACACACTTAAAGGACACATATGTCCCTATCAACTCAAGACAAAGGGTTTATAGTTCTAAGAAGTGCTTTTGGTCTGAAGAATGAAAAAGATAATGAGAGAAAGCTGTGTCCTAATGAATTTTTTAAGGGCCGAGATCTTAAGAGTGCTTTATTTGATCAGCCCAACACAGATTAGGAAGAAAATTAGAAAGCTTAGCAAATGCTAAGACCTATAAATTTTCACCCTCAGCTGGGACTCTCCATTGCATTCATATATTGGATGTGGACAGGTTTTAGATAATAGAGCTAAGTGGAAATCCAGCCTAGAGCTTACAGCTCCATATTCCAAAGATAGTTCATGAATGCAGCAGGTGTCCAAGGATTCAATACCAAATATGAGAAATGATATAAAAGCAAAGTATAGCAGAAGAGAACCTAGACTTGAGGTACTCAGAAACCAGGCTGACAATCAGCAGATACATAGAAAATATATGGACAAATAAAATGACCTCTAACCATACGGGTATTGAAGGGAGACACTGGCTGGAGGAGAAGCTTGGCCAAAGGGAGGGAAGCTTGCAGTACTTAGTTCCAAGGAACTCAGTTTCAGTGAAAAGCGAGAAATAGTCTATTAATAGGGGAAACATGTTAGCAAATCAGAGGCATAAAATTAGAGCTAGAGGAAACACTCTTATTATTTTGTGTACCCTAAAGTGGTTTTGAAGTAAGGGTAAGTCCTAGAGCCTAACTCACTGATGTCTTGCAAGTTGAGATCGAAGCAGAAGATGGGAACTAAGTAATGCATCATTTTAAATTACAAAATATTTAAAAATTTAAAAATGTAACAGGGTTCTTTAATAAGTAAAATACTCTAGTTATTGCTAAAGCCCCATTCTCCAATCCTTTTTTCTTCCTATGAAACTACCATCCTGAAATTCATGCACTTTGGAATCATGAATGTTTCTATGTTTTTACCCTATGTGTATGAGTTCTTAGTTTTTCTTTTTACATAAATAGTATCATGTGGTACATATTTTTACAATCTGTGCTCCCTCCACCCCATACCAGGGAAAGAACTCAGGACCTTGTGCTTGCGAGGCAGGTGCAATGACACTGAGCTAAATCCCCACCCAATCTGCTCTTTTTTTGTTTAATATTGTTCTTGAGATTTAGCCATACTGATTTGACACGTTGACCTAACTCATTCACATGTATTAATGAGTTTATTCACTCTCCTACTAGAAAATATCTCATGTCTCATCAACACAATCTTAAGATAAACATCCTTGTACACATCTCTTTGTGGCTACATGTATGTACCACCTAGGAGTAGGATTGTTGCATTGTATCTTAAATTTGTGAGTTATTACAGTCTAGGTCTCCAAGTAGTTGTACTGATTTACATTCCCAACTTCAGTATGTATGAATTCCCATTTCCTCTCATCCCCACCAAAAACACATAGGTGTTTTATTTCCTTGTGTTGTTCTGGCCACTAGCACTATCAAACATATGCTTTGATGTTTATTGACTATTCTATATTCCGCCAATGGTTTGAATGAATGTTTGTCCTCTCTGAAACTCCTGTTTAAATTTAATTGCCATTGTAATATTATTAAGAGGTCGTTCGTAGATATCTGTCTTTTTGCTCTGTCCTCACACGGCAGAAAGTTCAAGGAAGCCTCTTATAAGGCTAATAAAATTACCTTTGTGAACTAATCACATTCCAAACTCTCCATCCCCAAATACCATCATCTTTGTGATTATGTTTAAACAAATGAATTCTATATTTAGAATATAACATGCTGTGTAAAGATGACCCTGAAATTGATCCACCCACACCTCTACCTACAAGGTAGAAAGCTTGTTTTAACATATTTATTAAAATCTTTTGAATCAAAGATACACATCATAAAAAAACGGGCTAATGATGCTACATACTGAAAGTTGTGGGGCATAGAAGGCTCAGCCTCTTTAGAGCTCTGCTCATCGAAGCTGAGTACATGGAGTCAATGTGCAGTTTCAGCTCTAGTGTGTGTGTGTGTGTGTGTGTGTGTGTGTTTGTGGGGGGGTATTGTTTCAAGCCTGAGCACCCACAGAATCCCTGAATGCCTGCTTTCTCTTGCTTCCACTGTGCTGGTCTAGGATTGTGAGTGTGATTCTGCCTGGGTTTTCTAACCACAGTTCCCTTGCTGGGATTAGAGGCCGTCCAGTCTCAGCCCAG